AGAAATCAAAAACAGCTACCAAGTACCATCCCTGAAGAGTGTTAGAAATCAAAAACAGCTACCAAGTACCATCCCTGAAGAGTGTTAGGAGAACGCCCAAGGAATTGAATGCTACAATCTTTTGAAATATTTTTTAGAATTTTTGTTAACAATCCATTCTGCAACAACTAAGTTACCATATTATTATTTATTTCAACTTTAAGTTTCTATAGTTTTAGAACTTTGTACTAAATTGAATTTACTTACTAGGTACAGGAAAAGCATTTGAAACAAAATGTTGTCATGCACCAACCAATGATTGAGTTTATTGCCATAATATAGATGAACTGACTTTTGTCGCCTTAGTTCTGTTCAGCATAGAATGCGTGATTGATCATGAAATATCATCATAACGGTTTCCCTGTGTTTTAACGGACAGGCGAGAAGATTTGGGACTTAGATAAACATGTACTACAAACAGATTCGTCGCGCATCACATGTTAAATAAGTGCAACTTTGCACTTTTTGGATACGTATGTAAAATCTTCGCAGAAGGTTTAGTTTTGAATTCTTAACAGTGGATTCAAAAATGCCGGATCGAATGTAACAAAATGACATCTCTTTTCTTCATCGTTATACTTGTCATTGAGGTAAAATATTTCATAAAATAGTCAATATCAAATACAAATTGTTAGATCTATAGACTTCTCTGAATTTTTGCAGAGTGATTCCGGGAATGTTTTGAACTGAAACTTTCAATAACTACTGAAAGTCATTCTAAACTTGGGAAACAATTTACTGAGTACTGGAAAATTTGTTATCTATCCTTTTCATAAGGATTTCAAAGTCAAGTTAAGACCACAACATTGAAAGCACAATTTTTAAATGAACAATTCACTTATGTGGAATGTAATAGGGAATATCTGTAAGCGGAATATGATTTAGTATACTTTTTCCTTTTTATATTATTGTTTTATTATACTTAGACTTTTTACTTATCATAACGTTTTAAAACTTCAAAAATATTATTCATTAATCGAAACTATAGCAAAGACTTTCGCAAATTTTGTTTCGACATGTTGCGCCACAGGAGTTTTGAATGTCTCGGATCATGCGTCCAAAACAATGAGATAGGCCAATAACAAGAAATCTAATAAACTGAATAACAATCAACACAATTTTTTAAACGTTTTACAATTTTTCTTATATTGTGAATAATTGCTACATAAAGTGTGTTTTTTTTAAATTCATACACGTTAAAATCGATCGGTTCCTTTTTTTTAATTAAGACATAACTCTTTCGATGATTTCAGTATTCACTGTTGCGTGTCATCAGTAGATTTTATAAATGAGTTCAAGGAAATTGAATGCCTTGTACATCATAAATGGCAAGTAATTAAATCACGCCCAATTCCCTTTCTTACTGCATAGTTTCAAGACTGAGTTCGCAAAACGTTTACAGTGCGAATCGAAAAACCGTGGACTCCTAGAAATATTTCGGGAATGTTTATTGTTCATTGACCAATCAAAAGCGAGATTAACCGTCATCAAGTGCATTTTCACGTGCAAATTTTGAGTCAAAACTTCAACATTACAAATAAGGGACGGTCCATTTAACTTTTGAGGGGGAGTGGGGGGGGGGGTGGATGATTTCTTGTGAGCAAAATTTTTTTTTCTTCGTGGCTTTTGGGTGGGATATATTTTTTTTCTCTTTGTAACGTCATTGTCACGTGTTCTAGGTCACACAACCTAGTACACTTCGTAAGACACATCAATAAAGCATCAGTTCAAACACGAAACCATTACACTCTTGGTGGTGTGTAGGATTTTTTTTCTTCTTGTACTACCCTATATTTGCTATACGGGTATGTGCAGCAGGATAGGGTCCCTTTTTCGGAGCTCCAAGTCTGGGATAGGGTATCATTTTTCAGCGCTAAAATAATGTATGTACTTTATTGTACCTTTAGTCTGGGGTAGGGTTAGTCTCGGCATGTAAAATAAAAAAAATGGTCTTGGATAGGGTAAGGGTTTTGAGAGTCGTGCGGCACATCCCCACCCAGGATTAATAATTTAAGATATACTCTCATTGTTTTGAAGCATTCTTTATTTTCGATAATCAAAGAGTCTAAAAGCCAGGGACGGTTTTGAATTCATCAGGGAAGAGCGGGGGTGATGAATTTATTACATTCAAACTACAAACAGGTCATTAATATGTGCACTGAGACGGAACAGGAGGTCATTATTTCGACAAATAATAACATACTGTCACATCTCGGCGACCATAATAAATAAATGACCTACTGTCACATCTCGGCGACCATAATAACTGGGTGATTGATTTGCGACCAGGCCTGCATATGAATTCGCCAAGGTTGTAAGCCAGTGAGCCCGTGCATTTTTGTTAAGCGGTCATATTTGAAARTGTAAATAAAGGAAAGGGAAAACTCGCAGCTCTCCTTTCACTCAGATAAACAGTACAAGTCGTATTAAATTTATTTACATAACTAAACAAAATGATTATAGAATTAAACCTTTAAGAATTGAATGCTCATATGAAACATATTCCACCTATTCCACCTTAAATACACACGTGTTTTTCAGATGGGAATTTAGTCGAACTTTTTTCACGATGGAATTTTGTTTTGAGTCGTTTCGACATAAACAGTCGCTATCAATACATTACACGAAAAATCCCAGTCACCTTCTAGCTCTCATTGTAAGGTCAAAGCTAGTAAATGAGTAACCGAAAATGCGACAAAGGATGAACTACGACAGTTGTTTGTACCAAAAATAACAACGCTTTAACTCTATTGGAATACGTGGAGCTAAGCTGCTCTAGCTCTTCCAGTGATGTTGTATATACCTCAAAGCTTAGAGGAAACAAGAGCTAAGAAAAAGGATTTGCAATGGTTCCTCCTAAGATACTTTGGACTTGAACGTCGCTTCAACGACCTTCTGAAGTCTTCGTGCAGTCGGCCATTACTTCGCATGCAATGGAGAACCCGCGTAGAACACAGACTAATTATTTTTATCAGGGAGGGGAGTCTCTTGGCATTAAAGAAAAAATTATTTGTTATTTCATTTTTAAGATAAAATTCTATTTCTATAACAATAAATATTTGATTGACATTTAAAAGCTATTTTATAAAGATTTCAATTTCTCTT